CACGGAAAAAAAAAAAAAAAAAACGTCTCCATAATAAAATATTTTCCACCAAACAAAACACAGCCAAAGAAATGAAAACAAATTGGATCAAATCAACTTTACTTTCAAATTCAAGATGAAATAGCTGACCATAGTGCTATTAACCATCCAAAATAAGCAAATGGAAACATTAGAATAAAGAAAACTGCAGAATGGCTCAAATATGAATGATTAAAAATATACAAAGAAAAACATTTACTTTGAGCTGTTTTTAAAAGCATCAGTAAATGATGCACTTTTTACAGTCAGTTGGAGGCTGAAAATGTATGAGGATAAATCTAACTGCTCAGATGACCTAACAACTCTAGTGCACACAAAAAACATCAGATTTGACCTTTCAACTGCAAAACTGCTTTCCCTTCAAATGTCCTTTATGAATTATCTTTTTCCCTTTATTATTTAAATGATCATTTGAAAACTGCATTTTGTATTTACTCAAGTTAAAACAAAAATTTGTTCAAAGATCTGAAACGTAAGGTTGACAGAAAAGAAAAAAAGATAGAAAAATGAAGCGCTGATAAGAAACTTAGGTTCTATTAATGATTAGCTTTAGACGCCTCTGAAATGTTCATCTCCCCCCGCCCCCGTGAAATAATCCTGAAAACTAATGTTGCTTCTTTTCATGTGGAAGTTCCAAGGAATGTGTCAGAAATAATCCTTCAGACTAATTTTTGATAGATCATGATTGATTAATGTAAACTTAATTTAACGCAGCTTGAAAATGCCCCACTAGGAGTCAAAATAAGGAAAAGAAGATCAGAAATATTTCTGTGGGGAGGCCTATAAATAAACTTACAAAATTGATTTTTCTTCAAATCTGTGAAATAATCTGTGAAAAACTAATCAGTTTTTTTTTTAAATTAATATCAAGTAATTCTTATATCTTGAAATGTTCCTTATAGGTTAGTTTTGTCAAATTTGAAGTGCACTAAAATATTTGTAATAGAACCTCGACCAAAAATACTTATTAAGTTATCGTGTTTTTTCAGTGTGCTTTGGGGTGTTCTAATTTATTCCTCTCCAGAAATTAGATTCTGTTTTATTGTTCATTTCTGATATATTTTCTTCCGTTTTTTTGTTATTTATTTTTCAGTCCAGTTAAAAAGTAGATATTAAATGCTAATTTGTCCAAATATCTTAGAAAACACAGATTGTCCAAAATGTTTCACGTGGCTGTAAATCTGTCATCTACCTTGTAACAAAACTAAATGTAATTTTTTTTATGGGAAAACTCAACTCAAATGAGCATGTGGAATGAAAATGTAATTAGTCAGTTTGCATGTGGGCTTTGGGGTTTATTTATATTTATATTTCACCTAAATATAGCAGCATTGTCAAAATCCATTGTTTTTGAGGTGACAGAAAAATTCAAGAGAAAATCAACCAACAAGTAATATTAGCAGATACTATTGTTGAAAATACTCAGCCGTTCAGTAAATATTTATTAGTGAAATTAGCTAAAAGAACAGATTTGAGAAATGTCCCACAAGAACCTTATTTTAATGTTGCAATCAGGAGTTTAAAGTTAGATCAAAGAGCGCTAAATGTCCATTTGAAGGAATTAGACCATCATGGTGTTTTGTATTTTTAAACATCTTTGCCAAAATGTTCCTGTTAAAATTTTTTCGCCGTGAAATAAAACCCAAAAGAAACAAAAAAAGTAAAGAAATAAAAAATAAAATGCATAGTTATCAAACATAAAGAGATCAGATTTTGTATAAGTCACTGCTCTAGATGAAGGAACTTCATTTTCTTCTTTGTTGTGTGATAGAAATTGTTCAGCAGGATGGCAAATAATTTACTTCATCATAATAAATAGAAAGATTGGCTAATTAATTATGCAATGGTGTAATTGAATAATTGACAGATCAGCAGTAATGCAAACCTGTGGGGGTGAAGAAAGAGCTCAACCTAACAGTGAACATCTCAGATTAGCAGCTCACCTATTTTTCTAACCTCACCTACGGTTCAGACGTATTTATTGAGACAGAAACAAAAACAAATCTGATACAAGCAGGTGAAATACTTCTTCCTCTAGTGCGGCGCTGCTTAGACTCAGAGATAAGAGCTACTGCTTCTCTGCATTCACAGGGTCAGTCGAGGTGGTTCAGAGTTTGATTACAATGCCACTGACCCTTGGCAGGATTTTTTTCTGAACCCGTCCCGCTGGGAGGTGACCCCAAACCGGACCCAGAGCTCAGCTTGAATAACTTTTCTGAGTGTAACTCCTCCGGTCAGATGTTGTTCTAAATGTTTATAAAACTGCCTCCACGGGGCAGGAGCCAGAATCCTCAATTAATTGAAGGAATAATTAAAAAATAAAACAATGCTTCTCCATCTCCTTGATAACTTCACTGAGTGTACGGTGGCTGAACAGAGGAGAACTGCAACCCAATGGCAAAAAAATGTGCAAATGGATTTAATATGATGTTTGCCACCTGGATGTATTTGGTGCAACTCGCTTTGGGAATTTAAAAGAAATTCAGAAAATAACAAAACAGCATTTTTACATGAGATTTGTATAGAGGAGGAATAGCACCACTGAAAAAACAAACAGAAATTCAGACTTTTTCCTCATAAATGTATTAGGGTCACTCTAGACAGAAGAAAAAGAGGAGTGAATTTGTGCCAAGAAAACTCAGACATTTTCTAAAAAACATGGAAATTTCCACAACTTACAAAATTTCCAAAGTCAAATACTTTTTAGTTTTCTTTTATAGAAATTTCCTCTTCCTTATTTTCTATCTATAATGACACTAATTAATGCAGCATCATAAAATTTTTGACTTTTTTCTCAAAATTTTGATTTTTGACCTCAGAAGATTAAAGTCAAAATCCTGAGAAAAAAGTCACATTTTTTTCCAGTAATGAATAAAATCTCTGCTTCTATTCTTCACATCTTCTCATATCTCTTCGTATATTGTAGCCTAATATCTTATGTCGTTATTCTTTTTTAACACTGTCCAAAATATTTTAACATTAATTTTCCTTATCCGTGTTTTATACCGTCTGATGCACCGCGAGATTCATACTTTACTCTTTCAAATGTATCCTTCTTCTTTCTCCTTGCCACACTTCAAGCTTTTTTAATTTCTTCACCTACATGTACGTCTTTAGCACATTTATATTTTCCTCTTTCAGGCAACAGACACGATTTCTTTTAATCTGTGTTCATGTTCCTGCATCTTTCAAGACTTCTCCTAACTGTACTCCACAATCCCATCATCTTGTCTCACTTCTCTCTCTCTGCATCCTCCTCTTGCTCAGTCTCAGTGTTATTGACACAGCAGGATCCCTTTCTGTCTCTGTCACTTCCTTTTTTTTTATCTGTCCTTGTATCTGTGCTGTTGTCTGTCTGGTGTCACCATGGCGACGGATTTCGGAGCTCTCCATCCCAGTTCATAGGCCACCAAGCATCGACGCCGTTGCTCGTCGTCGACCCTGCCAGCTTGCATATGGAGCCCACATATGGGTCTCATCCGTGAGAGACGCATGGCCTGAAGAAGTCGCAGCCCCTCCGGGGAAACAGGACCAGTTCAGTAAAGGATACAGGATGTGAAGTGACATTTAGTATTTGTCTGCAACAATGAGCAACTGGAGGCATATGTAACGAATACAAGCATGTGGCTCATATAACCGGATATTTACAGTGCAGAGAGGTAAACATCAAGGTGGGTTTTAGGCGAGGGTGTTCTTTAGAAAGAGCAAAAGGAGTTATGATTCCCCATTTGATGTCAACATCCTTGTCTAATTTGTTTTTTGAAATTTAAATAAGTGTTTAAGTATGATGTTGTGGACCTGAAACAGAAACCACAACCTCATGAATGTAAAACAGTTTTTATTGACAAGAAATGTGAAAATGTCCAAGCAGGAACAGGGCAGCATCTCTGCCAGAAATCTTTGGCTTTCTTTCTTGGAGACTTGAATGTTGACATGCTGGAATATTTAAAGTAAAGGCAGCAAGATAAAGGAGAGTGCCCACTTACTGGGGATTGTTTCACCCAAAGGACTGGACAGAAACTGGAACTCCATGTACTGGCAACTGGAAGTGGTGAAGCCTTGATGAGCAGGGATGATCTGGTTTCATCGTGGTGAAGTTAAAGATCACTTTGAGTTTATTGGTCTGGTAAATAGTCCAGGCCAGCAACAGAAAAGGGAGATGAGACCTGTTTTATTTTAATGAATCCCATAAAAATGCAGAGATATGATCAGGAAAGGCAGACAGCAGTCAGCGGTGACGGTTAGAAGACAAAAAATAGGTAAAGTATAAAATCAGGATACTTGACCAGTGATTGACAAGAGAAAAACTCACCCTAAGGGAGTACAAAGTAAAAGTTTATGTAGACAGCAGCACAGGTGACAGCCATCAGCAATGCCAACAAGTGCAGAAGGAGCAGAGCTACAGATGAGAGCAAAGAGCAAATCAGCAGGTAAGGAAAATATATGGAGGAGCAGCAAGAATAATGGCAGGAAACAGGGAAATCATGACAAAAAGAACATAAAGCATCTAGATTACGAAAGGCTTCACTTGCCTTAATTAAGGTCAGTGTCCAAAATGAAAAAGTCTGGGCAACAATCCAAACGTTATCAAGTGGTTTTTGCCCAAGACCTTTCCCACCCATGCTAATGTTCCACAGAAAAATTTATTAGTTTTCCCAGATATCTGGCTAGACCAAAGTCCAGGCTTGAAAGGTTAATTTGCTTGATGATCCCAAAGAAAAAGTCCAAAACTCATCTGAAAGGCATTGTACACACATAGCTGGGTCTTTATAAAAATTATCTTTGCTACATTAAAATAATAATAATAATAATAATAATAACATTGTATTCCCAGAATTGGTTTCAGAAAAGTTTTCATCCCACACATTGTATTAAACATGCCAAACTCATAGGGGGCAGTGTAGCGCAAAACTAAAACCACCGTCAGCCAATCAGATTGCTTCAAAACAAACAGGACTCGTTATTAAGAATTAAACATGGCGCCAGGAAGTTCATTTGAATGGGTCGAAAGCTAGGTCCTACTGTAGATAAACTACTTGTAAGTACCATATTAGAGTATAAAGTTAATAAGACACAAGATAACATCGACTGGGAATCATGTCAAAGCAATTTTATGGATATATTGGTGAATTATTTGTTGCAGACTGTAATGTGCCAGACCACAAATCTCCGCTTTCGAATGTACAGACGCAAACACAAAGACGTCGTTTCCTCAAATCTCCACTTTGGTCTGTGTTTTTATAAATAATCGTTTTTAGTGATGTTAAACAGAGTTTTGGTGAAATGTAGAAACGCATGAAAAATGTATTTGTTTTCCCAGATATCCGGCTGGTGTTTGATGAGTAACGGGAAAAAAAGAAGATATACGAGGGAAACTTTTTGCTGAGACTGTAAATGGGTGAGGAAATTAATTTCTGCTCAGCGCCTCAAACAAACCTGAGCTGGCTCTGGTAATTTGTATTCAGCCTTTATATATCCAAACAACAGAAATGCAATTGAACTTGATTTAATTTAATTTAATGAAGAAAAACTTGAGAGAGCTGATTTGTAGACTCGGTATATGTTTTTTGGTGAACAGATAAGACACCGAGGCATCGTTATCTCTTCAGTGGCTGACATTCGTCTGTAGGCTGCCAGACAGACGGTGCCTTTTCTGTCACCTCCTCCGCCTCCTCCTCCGGTCTGGTGGAGTCTCGTCTGTAGTCCGTTTCCGTGTTGAACCAGGCAGCAGCAAACTCTCTGCTCCTCATTTCCGAACTCGCTTCCCCAGAAGCCACCGCGCCTCCTCAACTTACAGACCTGGCTAAGGGCTCCGGGAGTGTTTCCCATTTAAACAAACAGTGCCGAAGATGGCGGAGAGTTAATGGTGTAAAGAAGAAATTATCGATCCGGGAGGGAGATAACGCTTTTCTCCAGGTAAGACCGCGCTGCGTGCTGGAAGACATTCAGCTAATTAAGCCGGACTTTGTTTGTGGTTTGCATGTCGACGCAAGTCGGAAATGGACTGAGACGGGTCTCCAGTGGCGGTGCACACACACGCACACGCACTGACAACTGGCCGGGCATCAGTGCGTTGCGGAGGGCACGGTGCACGGTCTCTTAGTGCATGACAGCAGGGAAATCACCCCGCTGATCTCTGCTCTGGGGTGCACGGTTGTTGTCACGTCTGTGCGACAGTTGGGGCTGCAAAACGAGTCGATGTGCAGCTTTTAATCAACTTAACTTGGCGGATCAAGCGGCTCCGTTTACGCGCAAGCTGCTGCTGGATCACAGTTGTGTTTCCAACATAGAGCTCAGGGAACACGGGGAAGTTTTTTTTTTCTTTTTAGGAGGAACAACTCACACTTTTTTAAACATGGTTTCTGCACAGTTCAACACAGCGCATGGTTATATTCTAATCGTTTGGTCTCAAAGACTGGACAGTCACACCTGAACCTCCCTCTGTCGTAACTTAAAGGAATTGAAACGCTGTTAATTTTTACTTGTATGCACCATGTTTGCCCAAAGATTACCCTGCTGTTTTTACAGCTTTATTCCCGTGCATGGACGCAGACGATGCTGACTGCTCTCGCTCGGACTGTGTGTTATAAGAGCGGAGAGAAAAAGTGCAGTGGCTCTGCGATGTGTCGTAACTGTGCACTGAATAACCGATGCATTGTCTTTAAATGTGTGCTGGTGTGTGTGTGTGCGCGCGCGCGCGCATGTGTGTGTGTGTTGGTGTGTGTGTAGCGGAAGAAAGAAGGATTTGGCAGTTTCTGTTCGCTGTCATAAAATGTGCCCGTGCGGGTCTGCAGGGGGCAGCAGCGCGGCCCTGTGCGCTCCCGCTGCCCTGCGCCTCGTAAGGTTCAAGGTTTGATCCCTGACACAGCCAGGCATGTGTTGTTGTGTGTTTGTCTGTGTTGCGCACACATGCAAAAAAAAAAAAAAAAAAAAAAGCCACCGTGTCCTTGAGCGTGACACCAGATCTTTACTACTGCACAGGTTTTCAGGGGATAATAGCAGTCTTCTTTTCAGTGTGTGTGCAAACACAGGTTGAATGGATGCGAGGCTGATGTGTGGACTGCAGGTGAGAGATAAGAGCTTGAGGTAATTGCAGTGAAATCCGGGAATAAGTGGAATAAGTATAAGTCTGTTTAAGATTTTACTATCGGAAGAAATAATTTGGAGCTGCGTCCAAATTTTCAGTACTGTGAATGCTTTCCCCATTTGTCACTTCATTCGAGCCCATCTCTGCTTTCTTTGTTTGAACTCATGCATCTGTTTCTTGCATCCTCGCAAGTCTGCACACCTGTGATTTTTCACCTTGTCATGCAAAGCCCCGCAGTACAATTAAATGACTTGTGCAATATTAATAAAAAAAAAGTCATCCCTCCTTTTCTGTAATATCTGACTCAAAATGTGAAACAAATTTATTAGATAATTTTTTTGTCATTTACCCTCACTAAATACACGTGAAAGAAAACAATTCAGTTAAAAAACGCTTTAAATGAACTTTCAGTTGTCCAAAAATGTCTTGACATATTTGGCCAAGACAATTGATTGTAGGATTTAATAAACTTTTGCTTCTTCCTATTCAAACTGGACATGAAACTTTATTTTGTTTTACCTCTGACATCTTCCTTGTTCAAAATGAATAAGGACTTTATTTAATTTCTTGCTATGATGATTTATGTAGGTTCAAAATTAAGTATTTTAAAATCTGAATGTTTGTGGTAATGTGTCTCCTTCAACTTATAAGTAAATCTGGGAAAAGTTAGGACAAAACAAACATTTTAAATTTGACAAAAGTTTCTTGATTATTCTTTCTGCTAGCGGTCAAAATTAGTGCCAGTTAATTACCTTGCAAAATTAATGCTGCAAAAATAACATAAAGTGTACTATTATTTACAACATTGTATAATATCTATGTATTTTAAAATCTACTTATAAGCAAAACAAACACCTGATAAATTCAGGCATTCTGCTTTACTTTGCACTCCACGTCTGTCCATATTTTTAGCAACCAGAAAACTTTACAAATACTCTTGCCAAGTTTTTCTTTGTTGTAAGCAAGAAAATCTGTAAGAATCCTGTTTCATCCAGCTGACGGGCAGTGTGCAGCAACATGTGGGAAAGGGCATTTCTATTGTATGCTCCACGGAGTGGGATAACTCTCATTTCAGTCTATTATTTTCTTAAAGCATGAGCATAACTTTTTTTGGCTTTGAAACTCAGTTTTCTGTCACACCAGGAGAATTTGGGCGACTCGGTTTGACCGCTATCATCATGGATATCCATTTCCTTTTACCAGAAGAGATTATAATAATTATGATAATAAACAGTTATTTAAAAATTGTAATATATTTTGTTCAAGATCCACCCTGGTTGTTGGATGTTAAAATGTTTTGCCTCATATGAGACAGAAATCTATAATCATTACTCTTTATATATGAGATTAATGCATCAGTACAGAGAAAAAAGAGTTTGCTTGATTTGTCTGCATCAGATTTCTGATGGGCTTCCACACCTGTCCAAAAGAAGAGGTGATTAAAAGTTGACCTAACATGAGTGTAAAAATGCCAAACTTGGGTTTACCTTCATATCTGCAACCTGCCTGTGTCTAGTTAGAAGATCCAAGACTGTAATCCAGACATTGACTTCTTCTGTTTGTGACTATGAACCTAGATTTAAGGCATTTGAAGAGATTAGTGTGGTCTCGGTGAAACTGCGGTGGAGATAATTTTATACACAGTGATTCATTTAGAAAAATGATGACAGTAGTCCCTGCCTGCAGTCCTCTCTGCCTGGTTTGCAAATCACTCCAGCCTGTTTTTATCAGTCTCAATGACATTAGGTTAAATTTAACTTTCACATATTTTGCCACCCTCCTTCTGGGTAAGTTTAGTGTTGCTCCTTTGATTTTAAAACGATACATTAATCATCAACAATACTAGTCGAAGCCACAGCATCGTGCTCTTCGCCGACTTACCGTCAGTTTTGCTGCTCTGCACACTCGCCTACAGCCCGGTCGCAAAGCCTTGAGGCTGGGTTGTGGAAACCTTGTGAGGGGTTTTCCTAAGTGGATGGAAGGATGGTGGTATTGATGATGTGGAGGAGGGTGACGGTGATGCATTATGTTTGGTGAATCGGGGTGGGGGAGAGAGGGACAGAGCTGAACTGGGGATGCTGGTGTCTGGGTCAGGCTCCAGGGGGGAGGAGGTTTCTGGAGATAGGACCTCATGCACCAGCAGGGTTGGTCTGGGTGTGTGTATCCGTACGCGCAAGAGGGAGGACGTTTAAAATGCTGGGAGGAGGCGGATCAGGCAGGGTGTCCTGCTGGATATCTGCCTGGCATTTTTGTCCTTTGTGCCCGTCCTGGTCGATCTTGTTTCTCAAACCTTTGTCGTCTCTCTTGTGGAATCAGGAAGTTTCTGATGGTTTGCATTCTTTGCTGTGCAGACTTCTCCTCTCTCTGTCCCCCGGATCTCCTTGAATGCAGCACAGTGAGCGGTTCTGTTGTGCCGTTGTTATAGAGACCTCTCTCTCCATGTCAGGAAATGTTAAACAGAGAAATAATCTTCAGCAGGTTTCCAAGATTTCACGCATCTCTACTCCAAACACACCTGATTCGATTCTATATATATTTTTAAGTTGCATTAAATTAACTCATTTTATTGTGCAACTTGATGTTACAGGAAGTATTACAGTTAGGGCTGCAAGTGCAACTAACAATTATTTTAGTAATCGTTTAATCTGTTGATTAATCGGATAAAAAAAAGGCAGATTTCCACAAACCTTTTTCATGCAATGTTGGAAATAATTAAGAGATGCAAATACACAAATAATTTTTTTTTAAAATAAAAAAATAAACATTATACTGCCTAAAATGCAATTAAAGCATTCCTTTAGTGAGTGCTTGATCATTTGTAGCAAAAGATGCATTGCAGCTAAAAAATGCTTCTAACATCAACATGTGAAAATCTCAGCTCTTTCTGCTCGACATCATTACAGTACAGGGCTGATCTGTTGATTCATTGTTAGATTAATTAATAATTAGATAGCAAAAGAGGCTTGATAGGAGATTATTTCTCTTTTACAGAATTTGAATCAGGTGAAGGTAAATCTGTGCCACTTGATGTGTTCTGGGTACAAAATATTTACAGAAAAAGTTTTTATGTTTTATGTGCAAAATGCTTATTTTTTTCTACAGTTTTTTGCTCCGAGTATGTTGTCCTTTTTTGAGTCTATATACTCAAGTTAGCAATTAATCAATTCCTAGATTAGTTGGCGATTATTTCCAGAATAGATTCATCACAATTAATTGTTTCAGCCCTAATTACTGGCTTATTCCTAACAGCAATAGATGAGGAACCGAGTC